TATGTCAATGCTATTAAATCAAAATAAAATATTTAGAATTGTAAATGAAGAAACTATCTAAAGACTTTAGTTTAGATACCAGAATTTTACTTTGGAAATGTAGATTAAAACTTAAATCTAATATATACTTCCGATTTTATTCACTTAAAAAAAGAAATATGAAATAAAATTAATGCTATTTGGAAGTAATGTATGAAGAGGTTTCGATAGTTGCCCTAATTTACAGATGATTGTTTTCTTTAACTAATTCAAAGGTCATGTTTGGACATAGCAATTGAAAAATAATAGGAAACATCAATAAAGTATTAATTCAGACAAGGAGAGGAAGAAAAAATTATGGATTTTGAAAATAAATAAAAAAAAATCAACCGACGGATTTATGAACTTACCAAATAACCTTAAACATCTGTTTCTATTAAATTTAAGCAAATGCAAAATTCAGATCAATACGAGATGTGAGCTTTTGCATTTATTTGAATATCATGGAATAAACTTCTATGATAAATTAGAAAAACCTTTATAAGCAAAACTAATAAAGATTTGAAGAGAAGCCTGGTAATAAATAGAGAAGATACTAAAAGATGAATAAGAAGATTAATTGGAGTAATAATTTAGAATAATAATAAATAATAATCAAAGATAATCTTAAAATGAGACAAAAGTTTTTGAAAGGAAGAGCAAACTCATACTTTAAATCAATATTCATAATCTTATTGAATAAGATTAGTTTATTTTATCCAAAAACCTTCAATAAATAAATCGTGTGATATTTGATCACTTTTGGGAGTTTATGAAAAAAAAATCGCTTAATACACTATTCTTGGTAGGAGTTCCCAGTTTAGTATTTTAATTCTTATGATAATGGTTAAGTTGAAAAGAATCTAAATAATCGTGTGTTTTTAAAAATCTAACTCAGGAAGGTCTCAATTTAGCATTAAGATAAAAAAGGTAGTAACAGTCACTTATAGACTTAAAGATTTAGAATCTTTTTAAAACTATATACGTTGATTCTTATTATGTTTCATTAACTTAATCATCCAAGTTCAAATTTAGACATATTTAGTTAGTAGTCTTGCTAAAATTCAAATTGATCATTTTTGAGAAAATTAATTCCATAAATCTTAAATTATAATTTCGAATAAAATGAGTTTATAAATAGCAGAACTTTGTATTATATGATTACTTTTTTAATTATTATCTTTATCTTCCTTATAAATTATTTCATTAATTTACTATTTATTCGCAATTAAATGGCATCTGTTAAAATTTATAGAAAAATATTTTCTTAATAAATTGCTAAGTAATTTCAATTAGAATTATAATAGTATTTCCTTTGAGATGAGTAATTTAGTGTGTATTAATAATAAAACATTATACTCCATTAACATGTCTCACTCATTTATTAGTTCATATTGCCCATCATTTTTATTGGTGAATAATTTCAAAAGTAGAAAGATTATATCCTTTGCCAGAAATAAATTAAAAATAATCTAGGTGATAAACTCAATTTTTATCAAGAAATTATATTTCCATGCTGTTCGTTTTTCTAGCTTTATTTTTTAAATTCTAGAACAACTATTTCAATAATATACTAATGGTATTAACAAAAAAAATCATAATTGAAATGTTCTTTTGTTGTGACTCTCTCTTATTCAGAAGAATCTTTAATTAAGCCACATAATCTTCTTTTTTTAGCCATTTTTCTTATATTCACTATACTATGCTTGACATTTGATAATATTAGAACATAATTATTTTACAATTTATCCCTGCAACTAGATTTCTATTCTAATTCTAATGAATTTCAATAGTATTTTTAGTTATTTTTAATTTCTTCTTTCAGTTAGATTCTCATGTGTGTCTAAATTATCATTTTAATAACATTCTTTTACTATATTACCAATTTTGTGAAATAGTTCAATTCTTAATTTTTTTAATAGATAAGTTTCAAATAACTTCAATCTTAATTCTCAGGTAATCCAAAGATTTTAATCCTTTAATAAAAACATTACATTTAAAAATTTTAGATTTTCTAATTTAGACACACAAAAGCTAATAATTTTAATTTGATCCAATTTATTAAAAGTTTTATAATAGCACAAAATCTTCATGATCAAAATCTACTTTTCAATTTAGAATTTGAATATTTATAAATTTGATTAAATTGAATTTAATTAAGTTGATTATTATAAAACAAAAAGTTAAATGAGAAAATTTGATAAAATCAATTGTTTCATAATTTTAAACATATTAAAGTTAGTAAATTCATAGAAACTATGAGAGGATTTTTTGATTTTTAATAAATAAATTGTCTCAATATTTTTATAATAGTTGAAATAAATTTCTTAGCTTTTATGTTTTTATCTATTATTAAGCTTATGTTTTGTTGTTTATATAGAAGAGTTATGAAGATTTTTGATACTCTTTAAATATTGTTATGGACATAAAAACAACTAAAAAATCTTAATAGAATTGATCATTAGCATTCATTCCATAAACATAAACTTATAAAATAATTTTTTCTAAATGATGAGAGATATCTTTGAATTTTTTTCAAATATTTCAGAACTATTTCATTTTAGGTCGGTTTCTGGTGACAATTTCTATTTTATTTTAAA